TATTCTCATGAGAGCAAGACTCAGCATAGATCTTGGTGTTGCAGTTTCATGTGTCACTGAGAATCTGGTTGGGTTTGGCTGCAGACATTGTCAAGAAAGACAATGGCTACAATTTTGTTTACTATTTTTCTGAATAAATTTTCCCCTTTCTATCCCCTCCCCAAGATGATAACCCCCCATTCTTCTAAGAGAAAACGAAACAATAAAATACATGTATATTTTGTAAGCCACTTTGAATTACTTTTGAGTTATTGTAAAAGAAAAGTGACTAATAAGTACTAATATTATATCTTAAGTCAAGATGGTGATCTGATTTCAGGGAGGTATATTTTGTGGTAAACAGGAGTCCTCTCAGTCTGCGCCATTTCAGAAGTGAAGATAAAATCTGCAGTCAACAAAGAGCTGCAGAACATCACAGCTTTGTGACAAGTGTAGTTGCATGAGTCACCTACAAAAAGGCAATGTGTGAAGTGGTCTTTCTTCAAAACAAGGTCTGCTGTAAAAGAAAAAAACGTTTAAGCTTGTAGACAGGTAAGAGCACTTCCATTGTGTCCAGCAGCTGCAGAATGTTCCTAGGTATTATTACTTGGAACTAGGAGCATTCTTTCCAGCTTGCTGAGAGGCCTCACTTCTGGGAGAAGAAACAAAGACCTTTCATTAGCTCAACAGATACAGTGTTGATTCATACAAATACCAGCCAGGAAATCCCCTACTCATAGTGGAGGTAGACTCCATGCACATGCTTACCACCACAGTACACACATACATCTAGTTCCCTGTGAGCCTTCTAGCTTGAAAACAGTGTACTGTACAGTATAAAGTTTGAATAAATTGGGCGGTATGTATACTTACCTTTTATTGGTTCACAAGTACACCTGGTGCCGATGTTATGGATGCCCTATGCATGTTGTTGGGGTCTTGTAACCCACCACTTACAAGGGGTTCCCAAGGCTGATAAATATATGAACAAGTTTGCCTTCAGGACCATGCTAAAATGTGGGCTTTCAAAATTTCCACTGGCGCTTGTACACACTTCTGTCTCAATCAGGTCATGCAGAAAAGTTAAGATGGGAGAAGTCAGAAAGCGAAGAAGCTTCCACCACTTCTAGCAACCATCTGCACCACCTTAGTTTAAAGACAGAGGGTGGGATTCACCTGCTCACCCCGCCCATGTGCCCCCTGAACCTCCAGAACAGCAAGGGAGGGGAAGAGTGGGATGTTTTGCCAGGCAGGCTGATATACTTGTACAGGCACCAGCATGGCATTGAATTCTACTCAGAGTATTTATGTAAACCTGGGACACTTTCAGGGATTATTCTGTATTTACTAGTAATGTACTAGAGTGCCATGGATTTGTAGTATTCATAAATAAAAATACAAGCTGAGTCCTCACCAGCTTGTAAGAACCACCCTAATTATTATAAGTGGTATATGATCTCTCATGAACTTCCTCAAGGCATAGTCTAAAAAAGTAAAAGGTGACCTGAGTTACCCAGGCTAGAAAGATTTGCCTGGTTCTGTGCCAGCATTCAAGTGCCACACTCTACTTAACATGTGGGTGAAACACAATCATCTCAGCTGAAAGACATCTAGCATGAACTGATATGACTTTCTGCTAGCCTTTTGTAGGCTGTACAACAGTTGTGCCATGAGAGTTAAACTGGTCAGTTTTTTGTGTTTCTGATCATTAGTAGATTATATGGTTGGGGTCTTTGGCTGCTGTAAACTAATTAATGGCATTTTTCTTAACAATGCTACAGTTAGCTTGGTCCTTTTCCAGTTTGCTTTTGGCATAAACTCAGTGGATACTCAAGAAGCATGCTTGTAGTCATGCTTACTTCTGATAACAAGGCAATGCAACCTTTAGTTTTGTGGGGTTGCTGCTGTGTTTTAATCCTTATGTTTAACAGTCTTGATGGTTGCTGAATTGGGCTCTGATTTGAAAAGAATGCTTTCTAAAGATCCAGGTGTGGGAGGGTGGTGGGTTTTTTTTCTTCCCCTGCTCTGCCTGCAATAATATATAAAAGAGTAACATGTATGAGAATCAGGTGACTGCAGTTGCACTGCTGCATTTATCTGGACCAGCCATTCAATTACAAGAAAGAAAACACCAACATGCCCTAGGAAAGGCTAGCACAGTGGAAAACCTGAGTCATTTCAGTTGCTAAATTAGTTTTAAATTAAATGTTTCTGAGGCTGCTGTACTAAGTTCACCCATTGTCTGGAAAAAGGACAGCGTTTGGACTTTTGCTCAAGCAACCGGTGGCTTCCATATTAATGTGGAGTGCCAGATGAAACTTGGATCACCTATTCATCCTCTGATTTACACAGAAGTAAGATGGGGCAACTTTTCATTTGATACATGCCAATTTCAAATCATGCTCAGAGTTCTGTTTATTTTTATTTTCCTTGATACAGTCGAGGAATAAAGGCAATGAAAATAAAGAGAAAGATCAGCAACGGAGCATAGCAATTTGCAGTGCAGTATTATACAGTTAAAGTAAATACAACCAGAACAAAACTAAAAGAAGGAAGCAGTGGGTGGTGGGAGGAAGAAAAGCGGGAGGAGAATAGGTCCTAGCAGAACCTGATGGGCGTGTGCTTCCTTCAAACAGTTTCCAGTACAACTCCCAAATGTTCAAGTGTGTATTCTCTTTGTGCCACCTACTGAAGGTAGCTTTCCCCCCATATGGTGCCAGAGTAGATGAGCCCTCTGAGCGATTGTGCGTGTGGTAGGAGTGGAGAGATATATGCTCTTTCCACTAGTCTTTGGACCAGCAACAGGGCAGGCAAAGTCTAATTACTTTGCTCCTCTGTCAGGACCCACAGCACTGCAGGATAACTGAACATAGCGTGAGCATCCAAGAATTTTGGGGATTTTCCCAGGACCAAGGCAATATGGATAATCCCCTCAGGACAGAGATCAGTCTGGGTGGCATGTTCATTTTTATCACAGGAACCTTGCCCCACAGACTCTGGGGTAAACATTTCCACCATTCCTAGTCACGCTGTATTTCCTTGATTATATGCATAAGTTTGCAGTTGACCACATTGCCACTATCTCTGGGAACTAGAATTCCCAGATATGCTAGTTTAGCGGGACACAAACCGAAATTCCAAGCCTTGTAAAAACTGTGGGGCAGCACACCATCAAGGGATACAACTTCTGGTTTGGACCAGTTCATGCTGTATCCTGAGAGGTGTCTAAAATAATGGATGTTAGTTGTCAGTAAGTGACAGAGGCTCAGTGCCATTCGTTTGAACCAGAAATGCTGTCTACCTCACCATAGAGGACATGGGCACTAGCTTTTTAGATTTCTTCCTCTGGCATCTCACTGCTGCTTTTTGTTCCCTTGTGTCAAGGAGGAAGGGATTGGGTGACATTCAGCTGAATATTTTTTCCTCCCCTCTCCCCCCGTGGAGACCCATTTGATGAGCAGTGTGGCAGCCTTAGTTAGGACATTCTTCGTTCTTCAGTAATATCAGAACCTATCCTCCCCTCTTTGCCATTCTTTCTTGTCAAGCTTCTTCCGTTATTGGGAGCGGATTGGATAGGCCCAACTGTTGGCTCAGTTTCGCTCTTGTGTGTCCATTTTAGAGCATTTTGTTATACTGTAGAAGTGTGTCGCTGTGCATTAGTCTGGCTGGGACACTGGAGATCCACACTTGGCCAAGAAGCCCTCTGGGTGGCCCTGAGGAAGTCACTGTCTATCAACGCAGACTTCTTAATAAGGTCCTTATGAGGCTAAAACATCTCTCTGAACTCCCTAGAGAGCACAGGGGTGGGGCACATTCACTCACAGGCAACTTTCTGCAGCAGTAGGTAGTGCCAGAGGCAAAAGTGGGAAGAGCAAAGGACGCAGCGCACCTCCGTACAGTGACTCTATTTCAGCTGTGTAAAGGCCACAGAGTTCTGTGCAAGCAAGAGGCATTATTGCAGTTCAAGACATATTGCAGGCAAATGAAGGCACTTGAGAAAGACATGGAGCTGGGTATATGTTAATGAATCTGCAACAAGTAACTATGGATTATTATTCTCATAATGGATGTTGGAGGGTTTTTTTGAGATAAAGTCTTCATACTGGGCTGGAGGAAGACTATTCTTGACATTTAGTGATAATAACAACTGGAGACCCCCTTTTAGACTTTTTGTGTGGAAATGAAAATGAATGAACTTGGGGTGTCTGGGGTTGAAGATTGGAAAATAATGTGATGATAATAATTATGTGACAAAATATTTACAATATTTCAGCTGCTACTAGCACCACCAGTATTACTACTGCTACTGTTAGCAAGAAGTCAAAATTCTTTATGCGTCCAAGCTAAGCGTATGCATCTTTTGAGGAGTAACTCTGCTATTATTTGACTTTAAAAAAAAATTCCCTGGAACAGTTCACAGCATGTATATGCTAAAGGAGATGACTCATCAGAGAAAACAGTTTCAATCAGTCAATCTTTGTGGGTTAGAGTGAATTGCTGGGAAATTTCAAGAAACTACAGAGACAAGAAAACAAACAGAAAGTAGGGTTCAGTGAAGCTACCCTGCAGTATTAATTCCAGTAGTTATCTCCATGAGTGAGACTGTGCTGACAAATGGATTCCTAGTGAAGCAAGTACCCATAAGTCCTCCTGGGATACAGAGACATTCCCTTCAAAAATTATTTGTTTTGCACTTCCAACTCTTCCTTCAGAGTAACTTGCACATAATTGGTTCCAAGTTTCCTTGACAGGGGTTCCTTTTGACAATATTCGGTACTGATATTTTGACAATATTTAGTACTGATGTAAGAGCTCAGCATGTATATAGGGGCTAACTTATTAGCCACATTTGCTTTTGTGTATCTAATAACTTCCCTTAATTATCCAAGGCCTGAAGAGGTTTCCCCCATATATACATGGTACAGCCAGGTGGTAGACATGGATTTCTACTCCCAAAGGCCAAGTAGAGTGCCAAGGATGTGTCCCGCCTCTCACTGTCCCACTCTCATCTTCTTCTCCAGGTTTTTCGTACCGATCTGATAACAGCTATGAAAATCCCAGATTCTTACCAACTGAGCCCAGATGAGTACTACATCCTTGCTGATCCCTGGAGGCAAGAGTGGGAGAAAGGTGTTCAGGTGCCAGCAAACACAGAAACAATCCCTGAACCAGTGGTTAGGTAAGCCTGATGTTCTTCTGTTTGTGAGATACCTTCAGTTGGTTTTTCCCCCTCAGAGAGTGCCATGTTCTGCCTCCTATGATTCAATGAGGAATCTTTACATGATCCCAGTTGTATAGGGTAGCTTTACGGGGTTAACTTTTCCTGTGAGGGAGTTAAGAGTCAGGCCCAGTGTCACCATGTGGCATCCTCCAATAGCTGTTATGGTATCAACAAACTGCTTTCTGATTTAGGGCTGTTTGATATCCCCGAGAGAATCTCATTTCTTATTTGACTCACTTGGGTTCTGAGCTAGAAGGCAGAAACAGCATTAACTTAGCTGTGCTGCTGTTGGTATAGGATCAGTCCCAGCTTTAACCACTGCACCAGCAGAAAATCGGATTGCAAGCATGAAATGGTTCAAAGGAGTTAGTGGTTAATGAGAGGGTTTATGTGCACCTGAAAATCTACCTTGGGTATGATTTTCCCTGAGGTGGCAATCCAAAACCTGCTTGCCTGGGTTAAGCCCAATTGAATTCAGTAGGACTTGCTTGTTACTAGACATGATTAGAATTGTGCTGTTACTCCAGATAATTTGAGTGGATTTTGGCCGCCAAAAGCCTACTGCAGGTTGCATTATATGGAATGCTGTTGGGGGATAATAAATCCCAGGCTGTTGCTATGCTTTCTACCCTCCTGATCTTGCCTATTCTGATGGCTTTGCAAAGTCACAGGACAACTATGGTAAGTTAAAGTCAAGTGTGTTTGAACATAAGTGATAAATATCCCCCCGTCTCACCAAATTCTGTTTTCAAAGATTTTCATAAATCCAAACTGGACAGAACTGCATTCTATCTCCCTGTTTTCAGAGTTTCTTTCAGTGATACATTATATAGCAGGGATGTCCAACAGGTCGATTGCGGGGTGTCCCTGGTCAATCCCGGGACCCCCATGCTCCCCCCAAAAAAGCTCAACAACTTTGGCCCATCCTCATTTTTTTAATAGTGCGAATAGATTGCAGTCTCTTGGAAGTTGGACGTACCTGTTATATAGGGTCACTTCAAACTCTGAAATTGTTCTCCATGTATTGCACATTTGACCATCCCCAGGAATGCATGCTTATAGAAACCATAATGCGGTCCAGGCTGCCTGTAGATGCAGCTTCAGGGAAGTAATTCCCACAACAAGTGTGCTGCCACAAGGACACAAATTTCCACTGAGAATCTGGCTTTTTCCTTGGGCATCCTGTGACTCCTCATGGATGAGGCTGACTGTGAGGCACCCCATGATTTTGAGAAGTATTGTTATTGTTGGGACATATTGGCACAACATATCTAAGTTGAGTGGCTGGTGCTGAGAAGTTAATGGTGTTGAATAGGCTTTTGTCTTTCCTTTTTCATGGTATATCTTGTAGATCAGATGTTTATGGCTTGGTGCTGTGATAACCCGTCTTAAGACTTTATGATAGAATACAAAGCTTAAGTAAGTAATTGTTCAAGATTCTGCAAAAGAATTCTGGCGGAGAACAGTTCCAAACCCAAATTTCCCATCTCCTGGCATCCTTATTAGCTTCTTATTAAACGCTGAAGCCCAAATGGAAAAGGTCCTATTTAAATTAATTCAAGGCTGCTCTTGCACATGATGTACTGCAAAAGCAACTGACTAGCATTTGAGCAGGCTTTGGCCAATAACATCCCTGCCTCTGCATTTTGCCATTTCTTTTTTCTTCCCTGTGTCTTTTCAAGTCAACTTTGATATCGATATCAAAGATCCTGGGGCTTTCTGCACTTAAAAGATGTTACATGTAATTCTGAAGCCCACTGTTAATCTGTGAAAATCAGTGCGTTGAAAGAGCTCAGGAGGATTTTAAGCGCATTAAGGTGTTTTCAGATTTCATGCAGGAAATTCCTCCCCTCCCCCCCAAAAAGGATGGAAATATTTCAGTAAAGTCAATAACTGCCTGAAGCACAGCTTGTCCAGCAGTGACAGCAGCAACAGCTGTTGGTAGAGGAAAGTTATGAAATAAACTTTTGTGCACTCATCTCCTTCCATAAGGATTTGGGGAAGGTTGGGGGATGAATGACACGACTGGAAAACAACCAAACTTCAATGAGGAATCTAAACACGTCCAAAATGGAAGCCATAAAAATGGAATTTGAAGTTTATTTAATCCTTAAAGAAATGTTGGGTGGAATATCTATTTTTACCAACTTTGATATACAACCACAGTCTGTAGTCGTAAATGTCCTGCTCTAGAGCTGAAGGTTGGTTTTGGTGCTGTGTCAAGATGAAAAGTGATAGCCTGACGTTGCCTGGGCCGGAGGTGCCTATTTAAAGACAGACTAAACGGATTCACTTTTTTTTTTTGGCAAGTATACTTTGCAGGCAAGCAGTTTGTTTAATTTGATCTGCTCTTTCACCCCACTGAGGAGGTAGCCAAAGGCTCTGGACTTAGCCCAGCACAGAGGTGGGCACCCATAAAGCCTTTGAAATCAAGGCTTAAATGTTCCTAACTCCACGTTGGACTGAGGACTCTGAATGATATACCGAGACCAAGGGATTGCATATGGAATCTGTGTTGTACAGTGTTTCAAAGGGGGAGAAAATTGCTTTTGCATAAACCAAAAGCATTTTTCTTGAGTAAGGAAATTTGTCCAGTCCTAGGGTTGTTGTGCTTCAGTCTTCATTATTCCACCATCTTTTCTGAACTAATTGAATCATCTGCCACACGCTATCAAGCCATTGTTGGCATTTCACAATACCATCTGAAGAACTCTTGGCAAAGGTTATACGGAACCCATTTGTTCTGCCCTATCAGATTTCCAAGGTTCAAGCAGTGGTTTCTGTAAACCAGGCACTGATTTCCTACACCAGTCATGGGTAGACCTAAGGTTTGCAGGATCTACTTTTGATTGTTGTAACTAGAACCCCAAGATCCATCAACCAGAACTAGGTGCAAAATTGTGGCTCAGAGGCCAGAGCCAGAAGCAAAGTGGTGATTAAGAGGTAGCCTCAATTAACTATTGCTCTCAATGAACCATACACTTGAATAATCTCCATATGCAAGTATAAATCTATATCCAAGGTACTACAAAAGAGAGATTTCAATGTATTTGAGGGGATATCCTATTAGGGGCATTAGAAATGCCATTTTACTACAAATCACCCTACAACGTACTAGTAGATCCTGATGTACTTTTTAGCCACTCCTGCAAGGGTCAGTGGTCTGAGACGATGAAATAAGTTTGGTGTGGGATACCAGCAGCGCAGCCTGGAAGTGTCCTGCACTTGGGAATCAGGTGATCTCAGATAGCCAGTCACATGCTATTACCTGCTGCAGTCATTCAGTGTGTTCAACCCATCACTTAGGGAGGCCACCTGAATCCCTTTCCTGCTCCAGAATGTCTGCCGCTGGTAGACCTGACCATCTCAAACTACACAGGAGCACCTTTCACAGTTCTGCAGGACGTGGCCCTTCTCTGTTGGCTGTGGGTAGGGTGCCACCCAGCCGAGTTCATCTGTACTTCTATCCCTTTCCTGCATCCATCCTTGCTCAGCCATCTGCACATCATTCTAAATTAGTGAGTCGAGATGGAAACCACAGCTTCCTGTGTCAGTAATGCAGGTGCATCTAAAGTGCCCATTATTTCCTGTCAAGTGGCCATTTCAGTTTGCAACTTCCTACATTTTCTCATAGGCTAAAAACAAGAGTCCCACTTCCATAGGAACATATCAAGGCAGCTTTTATCTCCTAAGCTAAGTTTCAAAATAAGGAGTGACTTTTCAGGAGTGTTGCTACCACCTTGCAAGTCTGTTGTATCTCAGTTGTGACCACATTTTAAGAATGGGTAGCATAGCCACTTGCTATAAATGACTGTAGTTAGCGCAGGCAATAGAGAGAACCAGGAGTGTGGAATATAAATAGTGACACTGACGGCTGTCTTTATGGCAGCAAACAGGAAGGAGGGACAGGGGATGTATGCATGTATTGTTCCTTCTCTGAATACCCCAGGGGCATAATCACTTGTCCAGGTGTTTTCCACTTTCTGTCATATGCTAGATGATAGTCCCATTCAAAAGAGGAAGGAGGATTTCAAAACACAGAGTTTATGACTTCGGGCTATAAACAACACTTTGCACGTTTCGCTTTATGACAAAAACATGCGCCCTCAACATTCTGTACATGTGAGACCCTGGAAATATGTTTTCTGTTTTGTTCAAAAGCAGGCTTCAAATAAAAGCTGAATTTATGGAGGGGTTTCAGACTCTTTGGAAATTTTCTTTCAGATGTTACAAAGTCAGTCCTGGTTAGCTGATGTTAGAACTGCTGTAGGGAGACTTTGTGATGTTTGAAACCACGTTTCCCCCATAAAGATGAAGTAGCTACATAGTTGGCCCTTGAACAGTCGCTCTAATCTTCTTTTTTTCCAGAGTGACTACCCTGGACCAGTTGAATAAGGAGCAGGTGCTTCAAGGCTTTACAAAGCTGCCCGTGTCTCTTAAATGAGTAGATTATTTGGATTGATTTTGTGCCATCTGAAAAGAGTCACAAAACCCTCATGCCAAAGAAGCCTTGGAAAATCCCACACCTTACTTACAAGAGGGATTTGGCTACTCGTTAGAGAGGGATGGCTCTGCCATGCAACTTAGCAACTACTCCCCTTTTTTCTGCAGTGTCCCCATTCCTACAGTATACACACCTGGGGAGGGCCTTAAAGCTGTTGAGTTGACATGTGGGGAATGAGGTAAGAATATGTGACTTACAGAACCTGTACATGAACAAAGTAGAAACTTTCTTCCTCTTTTTTACCAGTTATACCACATCCTTCCACTGCAACATTTGGAATCTCAGACCTTAGTGGTTGTCTTCCTCTTAATGTTTTCTTTTCAATTTGCTCAAATAAACAGCACAGATGACCTAATGCTTGCTCAAACAAAAATGGGCAATTACCCCCTCTTTAAGGTCTCTTCATAATGGGACAGCGTAAATGCCTCTCTGAAAGTGAAAATGAAGGCCGTGG